GAGAGAGAACAAGGTATCTTGGAGAGAATGAAGACTAAGTTTAGTTTCTAATTAAAGTTTTGTGCTGCTTTAGAGAGTAAAAATATACTTGGTTGATAAGAGACATGAGATAAATTAAGAGAAATTTATAACTTAGTGCTTGAGGAAATCAGAATTTTCAAATTGAATACCACTCATTTTGAGTGATATCAATCCTCATCTTTAGAACTTCCTGTTCCTCACTCCAGGACGCATTTTTAAGAAAAAAATCCTTAATTCAAGGTATCTGGAAACATACAAACTTAACAGTGCACTAATAACATACGCATACACAGTGCGAGTTACACCATTGAAGAAACAGCCTATCGATTGATTGAACTTATGCTTGAGCTTCTTTCAATGCAGTTCCCACTTGTGGACCACTTTCCAACGTCGGTACATCTCCAGGAATACCAAACAAGCCTTAAACAAGTTACTTTACGAGCAGGTGGCCGTTAGCGATACTTTAATATCGGACTATCGGCGAGCACTGACTCGGGTCGTTTGAGCCCGCGGTAGAAATTACCAAGAGATCAGCATTTTAAATGTAAAATTAATAATTAAATAAAGTTTCAAATTTATTTTTCAAGGACTTTCGTTGGCCTTACGGTAAAAAGCAGGCGATAAGTGACGGTCACAGGGTAGCGAGGTAGGCGCTTCAAATCCGCCGTACTCGGGTAAATTTCGCGCTTTGCTTAACTTCCTTTCTTTGTTTTCTTTGTTTTCTTTTTCGGACGCAATGATCATTTTCCTGGATACATACATTTAAAAATAGAAGTATTGACGCCATAAATGAAATATACACTGCAAGAGATAAAAGTGTATTCGGAGATTGGGCAAACTTAAATTAATTCACAAATGAAAAACGTAAACTGTTTTACTCTTTCAAGATTATCATTGGCTTCTTTTCACCCCAACAGTATTCTTGGCAACAAAGGTCGTCATTTCGTTTGTTAATCACTCGCCAAAAACTATCAAATGCGTTGAAAAGCCTAGAATAGAAAAAAGTTTACAGGAATCGACAAATCGAGCGAGCGAGCGAACGCCATTCATCACAGCATACCTACAACTCGCTCTTGCCCATGCGCGCAATTCATGGGTTAAAAAGGAGAGAACATTTTTCTCATTTATTTATAGTCACCACACTAGAATAAAAATTTACAAGGAAGCATGATAAACCACGTTGAATTACAATAATGCTAATGGCCAGGCTTATACATGTATAAGGTTGGGTTTCCTCCCAAAAGAACAAAAACTCTTATTAATGTACAACATCGAACAAGAAGTGTAGGTGTGAGGCCAGATTCAGATCAAGGTGGGGACGAAGAAGCAACAAATAAAAATGCTTGTCTAAATTTGTAAAGCGAAGAGCAAGTGTACGACTTTAAATTCTTCTGATTCCAAACAAAACTTTAAGTTTAAGTGAAGCATTTACCTTAATCGCCAGGTAGTAAGCATCCACTTCTTCAAAGAAGGTTAGTTCACTTTTATCAACCGTGGCGTTATTCAACTCACAGTTGTACTTTCCTCCGTCTAAAGGTTTCACATTTATTGAGACACAGTTTGGCTCCATATAACACATTGTGCGACAGCTCCCCTCACTAAGGACCTCACTACTCCTTATCACATGCCCCTTAATCGCCCTATTTGCTATCGGTTCCTCAAACAGGATGATGCGACACTCGTCCGCTGAGAAAAAACAGACAAAAAATAAAAACAAAAAAAAATTAAAGAAAACTTACAACCAAAGTTTTAAACCACTGACAAAACGTCTTTAGTAGCCGTTGTTTATTCTTTTCTCTGAACAATCAGAAATGAACATTTTCAGGAAGTATTATTAATTTTGTATGTTTAAAATACAGCTTGGGCATTAATTATAACTCTCAATTTTCAGCCCAGAATATACGAACGAAAGAAACAAAAAAACGACCCAATTAAAAAGAAAATGGAAATTCGCAAAGGATTGCTCGACGAGTGAAATAAGCGAAAGAAACCATTACCTAATAAACAAAATTGGTAATATGGCATTGCTTCCAATGGTTTGTCCCTACCTGTGCAGCCTCCACAAAAGGCGAACACGATTCCGGACAAAATGACAAAAACAGAGACGATTAACGGCGTCTCTCGGTCAAATTTATACAAAGACGCCATTTCAACCTTTTTTAAGGTTGAAATGAAGGTTTCAGCTTCCTTTCCGCACCAATAATGACGTAATGACAACTAACAGACTGGCGGANCTTTGTAGAATATACTTCGCGAGTAGGACCCCCGGTCTTCATAACCATCCACCAAAGTCCTTTTTTCGCTGTCATGACTTATGACAGTCACACCAACTCCGTCTTTGTCACTCATGTCACAGGTGACGAGGTAGGGCAACAGTTCTCCTTCACCATCAGGATCTATCAGACGGATTCCACTTTTCGCTTTGGGATCGAGCCTCTTTAAGTCACTGCAAGATCTTGATAATACTGTGAAAAGAAATAAAACCTTAGCGTGCGAACCTGCCCAAGCCGTCTGAGGAAGGTTTTAGTTAAAAAGATCTAGAAAGATATCGACCCAGCCATCTGAACTCTCACAGTTCCTCTCTACCCTTTGGAGTGTTGGTTAGTATCAGAAAACTGGAGAACATATCCCTGGGATGGGGGATTACGTATTATGAGCTAGCAAGAGGGGCCATAGTGCACCCTATCTCGTAGGAACAAACTTGAGCCTGAAAAAGTTCCTCTTAAAGAGCCCATTTTATCGTTGCAAACGAATATGCTTTTTCTATTGACGGCGAAGTGATAGATTCAACAACTATCTCAGATTTGTAATGAATTGCTATCTCTTGTCTCCAATTAAAGCACGATTAAGTCACGTTATTACATTGCTCACAGCGCCCGTGAGCAAGATAAAGCGAATCCTGTGTTCTGATTGGCTGCTCGAGCGGGCAAGATGGGCCTATTTTGCCTGCTAGGAATTGATCGCATTAATCCCGCGCTACAAAAACATGCAACTAGAACTACGTTTGTAATCCTTGGACAATTGCGGTGATGGAAACGCAAAAAGTGGCAGAGGATAGTCAAAGTAGTAGAAGAGAACGACTCTCGAGAGTTTGATGTGTTACAAACACAGTTGGCTTTCATTCTCGGCTCTCGAAGTAAGCAAGTCATTCTTGCTCTTAATAAAGCGAATTGATCTTTTTGCAATATAATAAATCCTTTATTAACCAAGCTTGTTCGGTCAAGATGGCTGGATATTAGCTTCGTTCTTTTTTTGCATTTTTATGGACCTAAACTTTGTCTCGGTCCATAAAAATGCAGAACTGAGAACTCGGCAAACATCTAGCCATCTTGACCGCGAGCTTGGTTAATAAAGCAAATATATAGTCACGCGTCAGTGACAAATGCCAGCCGATTCTATTTGACATGCTCATCATTTTCAACTTTATTTCAACACGTTTGTTGAAACAACCA